TTTCTTGCCCTTGTCAAGGCTATTTATCTATGTACAACGAGGACTACTGATGTAACAATTATGTCACCTACCAAAGGAACAAAGGAGCATACACATCTGACTAATAGACAGTTGGGGCTTTTGGGGATTAAACCAAAAGTTGAGCAAACTACTCTAGAGTCTTCAAAGAGACCTCCCAAATCAAGAAGTATCTCAGCCTCTCCATCTGATGTCCTTGTCCCTCTTCATCAGCCAATTCCTAGTTCAAACCATTCATCTAGACTTAGTGGTGACAAAGCAAGAACCGGTAGTGGAACTAAAGTACCATCTTTCAGCAACCCATCAAAATCACCGGCTTCCCCATCCTTGTATCTTGTTCCAGCATCTTCTTCTCTATCACCTTCAATCCAGTCTTCACCAGGTGGGGAACACTTGGTTGCCACACCTTGGTCGAACAAACGAGCTACTTTTCATAAAGAGATTGCAACAGAGGAACAGCTTGAAAAGTTCTTGGCTGATGTTGATGAGAGAATTACTGAATCAGGAAGCAAGCTGGCAACTCCTCCACCCACCATAAGTGGGTTTGGTGTAGCCAGTCCTGGTAACTTGCCCAGTTCCACTAATACTTCTGGAACTCCAAGACGTACTCCTCTAAGGCCTGTTAGGATGTCCCCTGGTTCCCAAAAGTTTACAACTCCACCCAAGAAAGGGGAAGGCGATCTACCTCCTCCAATGTCAATGGAAGAGTCCACTGAAGCATTTGAGCATCTGGGGATCTATCCACAGATCGAGCAGTGGCGTGACCGACTCAGGCAATGGTTTTCCTCCATGCTGCTAAAGCCTATGCTTATCAAAATTGATACTAGTCACACGAAGGTGGATTCTTGCACCCACTTTTATGTTTAGAATCTTTGCTCATTCTCTTTTTATTCTTTTTTCTGATACTTGTGGTGTTCTGCTTTTCTCTTTTTCTCCTTATCTCATGTGTTTTCCTCTTGTTGGCACATTTGATGATCTTCCCGAAAAACCTTAAGTGTTGATTTAAACCAATCTTTCCTGCAATACTGCTCATTGATGTCATTTAGAGCTCCTTAGGTATGTATTGGCTTCATATTCATAGTGACCATGATAGATTGGGTTGTAGGCTTGTAGCACATTATATCAAATGGATATAGAGGAAACGCTCTTATGCCTTAGAGATTCTTCTGATTGTTCCACAGAAGTTTTTTTCTTTTTTAAAACGAAGAGGAATTCTTTTGATGAAATAATCAAAATAAGGATGAAATAGAGCAGTCATGTATGTGCATCAGACAATAATAGAACAACTTAAGCTAAGCTTACAAGCATTGAAGTTATGTATTTTCTGCAGAGCACTGGACTGAAAAAATGTAGTGCGAAAAGAGTTGAAAGAGTTAGCACCTACTTTTTATCATCGTATCAGAATTCATAAATACAATTCCTGTTATCCTGGACAGAAGGAACATAATTTTGCTCGCTTGTTCTCTTGTAACTTTCAGAATTATGGAAAAATACTCCTCATCTTAAGGATTGTTTTTATATACCGATTGGGCCACTTAAGAATGTATAGAAGCTACAAATTATGAAAAAGAAAGAATCCTCTTTTTGTTACAAACATGTTTTAAAGGAAAGGTAAAGGTAGCTATGTTATTCATAGAAAAGAATCATAGTATTATGTAATTTGTTCTTCCCTTTCATCAGCGACCTTAAAGTTCAATGGTTTTGTGTGCAGTTTAAGAAATGAAGTTTGTATACTCAAAAATGTGCTCAGCTTCTAAACTATAAATGAAATTTTCTGGTCCAGCAGAATTGTCTTATTGTAATTTATGTTCATCTTCTATTATAAGCATTTGAATCATTGCATCCTTATACCTAGTTTGATGCCTTTGTACTCTTGGAAGTATTTTCTAAAGGATTTAAGTTACATACTTTACACTGGTAGTGAACTTTAACCTATAATAGTAGGCTACTTACCATCTTTGGCAGATTAACAATTAATGCTTATAAAGAGATTTACCAGTAGTTACTTAATAAGTTACCTGATTGTGTAAATAATTTTTACACCGTCAATACATATAACTTAAACTCTTTTCTAATAGTCTGAAAAAACTTCTTACTGACCTGTTGAATTAAGAAAGTCGAAAGAGACTGCCAAATTTGACTTTGGTTTTGGCACTTCCTGGTGTTAGGTGCACTTCAAAGCATCAAAATTTGCTATGTTGGAGAAATGCATATTCCTTTTTGTTTCTTTTGATGTATAACTTATCATTTCATTAAAATGCACCAACAGGGTGCTGAATTTGTACAACAAGGACTCCATCACGCTCGTAAGTGCTTGGTTTTAAAGCATGGTAATCTTGAGAAATTAAAAAGAAAAAAAGGAAAATGCATTAGAATCTTTTTTGAGAGAAAAGCATTAAAACCTTCAGATGTCAATTCATCATCTCCTTTGTATTTATACGTTTCTCAGCTTTTTGACTAAGATCAAGTTAGTTTCATCTCCTTTGCCATTTTACTAGCCATTTCATGCTTAGTGATGCTCTCAGGTTATGCAAGCTGCAGCCAAACTAGGCATTACAATCACAATCAGTCAAGTCGGAAATGAAGCACCTGATACTGGGACTGCTGCTATATCTGCTACGGAGAGGACTAATGAATGGAAACCCTCATTTTCTGTTGACGAAGATGGATTACTTCACCAGCTGCGTGCAACTCTTGTTCAAGCTCTTGATTCTTGCATGCGTAATTCACTTCACCTCCCATTAAGATTATTAGTCTTGCACTTCATTATTCAAGTTGTCTCTCATTGTTGGACATGCCAATGTAATAATTCTGAAGTATCTTGTCGATGCTTCTTTGTTTGCAGCAAAGACAACTTCTGGAGTTCTTCAGCTATCCTCGCCACAGAATTCTCAGATCCCTATTTTACAAGAGTGCATTGATGCCATCACTGAACACCAAAGGCTTCTGTCCTTAATGAAAGGAGAATGGGCCAAGGGATTGCTGCCACAAAGCGGTGTCCGTGCAGAAAATACAGTACAGAGGATCCGAGGTAGTTTGACTCTCGGCTTTGCCTTGCATGTCAGTCACTCTTGGATCTCCATTACATTTTTGGAGAAGAAATAAGAGATAAACTATGCTGATTTCTATTATTTTTGCATGACTGATCTGACTCCCAATTTCTTTGCAGAGCTTGCTGAAGGAACCTGTTTGAGGAACTATGATTATTTGGGCAGTGTAGAGGGGTATGGGAAAGGAAACAAGAAATGGAGTTCCGAGTTTCCAACAGATTCTCATTTGCTCCTATATTTATTTTGTACTTTCCTGGAGCACCCAAAGTGGATGCTACATGTTGATCCTACAGCTTATGTTGGAGCCCAGTATAGCAAAAACCCCTTATTTTTGGGTGTTTTACCTCCTAAAGAAAGGTTCCCTGAAAAGTATGTAGCTGTTTTGTCAGGTGTACCCTCTGTGCTCCATCCAGGAGCTTGCATATTGGCTGTGGGAAAGCAAAGTCCCCCAGTTTTTGCCCTATACTGGGATAAGAATCCTCAGTTCTCTCTCCAGGCAAGTTATTATTGCAAAGATGCTTATTGACTGCATTATGCTTGTTTTATAAATAGAAAATGATAAGATACCACCTCTCCGAAAAGGTTGATGGATAATACAACAGACAATTGAAAAATTATTGAAAATTTGCGTGCCCTTAAATATGGTAACAGTGTACTATTCAAGTTCATCGAGTCATCCTCAAGTGCTAGTTCAGTAATTTTGTCTAACTTTATACCTTACACTTGTTCTCTCATTGCAGGGAAGAACAGCACTTTGGGATTCTATCTTGCTTCTGTGCTATAAGATAAAGATTGGGTATGGAGGTTTTGTGCGGGGTATGCATCTTTCTTCGTCAGCGTTGGGCATTCTCCCAGTTCTTGATCCAGAAAAGGATGACTGCTGAACTTGAATTCACCCCACCTATGCCATAAATTATATGCAAACTCTCATGGACACTCAGTGTGAAGAACAGCTGCATAAGAATCTTGCTGTAGGTGGATCAGGTTTATCTTGAGATATAGGGTCATTGTAAGCAATTATAGTTGTGTAATTTAGGCTCGCAAAAGAATCAGAGATTTTTAGTAGACAGGTTCCTATCCTCTATTTTGACTGCAGAATTTTATGCACTTCAGCAGTTAGAGAATAGTTCCATCAGTTCCCATTAGTAATACTATTATTGGATTAGAAGATTGATAGTATATGTATTCATAGCTTGATCAGTAATAGCATAGATTTCTTGTATGCCGCCCAAGTCAAATAGGACTGTTGCCGCTTATGGACATCAAAAGCCAGTTTTAAAGGAGAGCATTGTTCCCTTGTGGCACGTTTAAAGAAGCAAAAGTAACAGAGAGAGATGTGATTACGTTCTGTTGAGTTTCTGCTGTTGCAGTGAACTGTTGTCTTTGGAGATAATGGTAGATTCCTTTTCCTGATCACAAGTGAGGTTTTAAGCAGCACGAATGAATGTAATAACATCTATAATGAGCCAGAAAACCAAACACCCCACCCACATGCCTAGCAAGGAGTCCGAGCTGGTTAGGATCTCAAACCTACTTGCCACGTTGAATCATCAGCTTTTAACTATACTGAGTGTTAAAAAGTATACTGGTTAATTGGTTATCCACATACCTTTTAACTATAGCATCCATAGGTCGGGATAAAGTTTCTTGAAAACTAGCCCAAAAAATGTTTGCAAAAGTTCGTTAGATATGCCATAAACCTCAAACAGACGCAACCAACAACAATTTCCATCTCTAGATGCATCACCAAGTAATCCTATTGTTGGCAAGTCACGGTGCTTTTAAATGTCAGTTTCTAAAAACCAAATCATGGTGTCTTAAGATTGCGATCCTTTAAACCACAATTTAACCAGCCAGTATTGATGATATTAAGGTGTCAAGGAGAAACAAACTAGCAAATATCAACTGAGTCCGGCTTATCAATACGCTGTACAAACAAGAAACAAGGGGCAGGTTCTCATTTTCACATAAGGGTTAGGCACAGTTCTCCACCTTCATATCACATAATCATACAACTCTATCATGGGTTCTGCATTCCTTTCTCATTCCAAATAAATTGGATAGAAAAAACCCTCAGTGTCAGTCGGTCCCTCCTACCTTTCCTCGCACCAAAAATATCACGAGATTGAACCTCATTTTCACTTTGTGCACTCATGGCACAATCTGGTACTATCCAGCGTCCATTGAGCTAGAACGATTAACACATTCACATACATTATACTTTCTATAAATTAGTTAAACAGATTTACAGGCTATTGGCCTCCCACAAGGCAAAAGGAGATTTTGAATCACTAAAATGCCTCCCCTCTATCCAAATTTGATTTACCAGTGGATGTTACTAGAACTTTTTGTACTGAGCTAAGCTGTCCAAATGTACAATTCACCAGCGATCACCCTCCAGGGAATCATCAAGGAAATGGAAGAGAAAAGAATGTGTTCCGGTCCTGCTCGCAACATAAAAGAGAGAGGTGAGGGCACCAGGGAATTAGGAATCTGATATGAACAAACATGAATACATATTAATACGAATTCGCAGAGTGGAGTACCTACAAATAAGAGAACTCCTAGGTGCCAGCAGTGATGTAAGAGAGCGGTTTCCTGTTGATCGATGTGTGCGCACTAGCAAGAGCTCATCTTGTCACATCCACATACTTTGCTGAGTAAAAGTAATCATTGTTCTGCCACCATGGAATCTGCTCCTATTCAGAATCCGAATCAATACTTAGATACAATCTTGGTCTTACAGAACGACGTTGACGAGGAAATGTAAAAGGACTATCAGATCGTTCTCTACTGCTCTTAGTTGGTCTGCTGTCATTCATACCAAGAAGCAATGAAGCTGCACAAACAGTAGCATCACTACCTACATTTAGAAAAGCTCCAATACATGAATCAAAAAAGAACTTCTGACAACACATTTTATCTTTTGTAAGAATATCATCTACCAGGATAGGTAGACATACTACACCGAAAAGAAAATATCTGTAAAAGAGCTACATGGCACTACTCTAAGGTCTGTGAATTGTGCTCATACTGGAGCTTCCCAACTAGCGCTGTTGTAAATCCAAACAAGACTAGCGGCTTACCAGTTAATTCTGGTCAATTTACCCGTTATATTTTTTNCTCCATCACCACCAAGTCGAAGTGATATCCAATCCTCAGTACCAACGCCATTTGAAACATCAGGCTGATCCCTCGTAGCCTCAACTGACGTATCAGATGGTCTAGTAGGAAGAAATATCTGAAGTGAGGGATCATTACCACTAAATGCTAGGGAATTATCAACTAAACTGTCATTTATATTAGCATTGGGGCGATTTGCATATGTTCCAGGAAGAAGAGAAGTAGATCCAATGCCGGTATCTGCAGCCAACCCGTAGCCACTGAGAGAACTGGGACAGTTAATAGAACCATGCTGCTCATCTACTAAAGATCCTGAAACATCAGCATCAGAACTAAATAACTGAAAACCAGGCCCCCCTTGGGTTCCAGAAGGCAAAGACCACATGTTCATCCCAAATTCATCATCATTAGAATTGAACAGCCCGAGACATGAATTCCCACCGTTAACCAGCGTAGAGTCATGAAAAGAATCCGGAATTCCTTGTGACTGACATGGAAAAGGAACTACAGGTGCATCACTATGGTTGTTATTAAAGATAGGCCCAGATGAGATAATTGGCTCATTTTCTTCTTCAGAATCACTTAGTACTATAACTTCAGCATCCCCTGCTGGTACCGACGGATTTTCGTTACCAAAACCATATGTTGGGTCAATAAGAGAAATGGCCTCAAGATCAAACGCATTGTTCGAGAAGTCAAGGTTCCCATTGCCATCTTGATTAACGCTGGCATCTTCACCTTCTTTGCCACTACCGGTGGCACCGCTGCTCATTGGAATGATATCCTGACCAAAATTGTCTCTCAATCTACTTCCGGATGAAAATGTCTGGTCTTCCGGTTTGCTGATTTCCCACAAACCATTTCTGTTCTTCCTCAATCCAACTTTAAGACCATTGCCATCAGAGCCTCCTTCCTGTTTAATCTGCTTAAGAATTTCGGGCTTAGGTTTCGACTCTATATCTAGAGATTCGCTCAGGCTCCCATCAGGTAAGTGCCAGCGCCCAAGATCCCCAAGACTCTGTCGATCACCTTCTATCTTTGCACGCCAAGAACCATCAGGTTTCACTTCAATTTCTGCAACATCTTCTCCACAACTTCGCAGCTGTACCGCAAAACCGAGTGAAAAATCAGCTAAAGAAGGTTAGGACATAATTATTATCATAAACAAAAGCTAGCAATACCCGAGAAGTGATTCGATTGAAATATGGATCTATGATGACATGCTCCAAAGCGTAGTTCTTGAGACAGATGGGGCATTGCCACTGCATCACATGAACAAGATTTGTAAACAAACAATATTCGGTGGATAATATGATGGAAACTTAGATATTATGCTGACGGAAACATCTAGTTCTGGGCCATAGTTCCTTGCCTTCCTTGACCTTTGATTCATTTCAACAAAGACTTCAAGATCAAAGCAGCCCATGTGTATACAAGGTTTGAATCTTCCAGCAACTTTCATCCTTGAACCGCTCATCTGTAATGCACATACATAAAAAATTGACCACTCTATGACTCGTGCTGCACAACACAGCAATAAAATATTGCAACAAGGCCATACAGAGGATAGAATCCAAATAGAAGAAAAACATTGAAAATATTGACGAGCTATCCTCCAGAGAAATTAATTCACATAATAATAGCAGGATACAAGGTGGACACCAGTACAGAAGGAAGACCTAACGGGAGCCTGTGCACCACCGTGTTTTCTTGATCAGGTGATACCTACATGTCAATCCTATGGTTTCTTGTTCAAACAATAAAATAAACACTTAAATAACGTCCAAGACTAAGCTCCCGTTTGGCCATAAATTTTAGCTTCATTTATTCAAAAAAAAAATTGAAAACATTGTTTGTTTATGAAATATGATCATGTTTTGGGAAAAAAATTCTAAAATTTTCAAGTTCCCAAAAACTGGTGTAGGGCAGTTTTTGGGTGAATATTTTTCTTCCGCTCACAAAACTTCAACTTTTCTTCAAATAAAATGCATGTCCAAACAAACTTCAACTTTCAAAAATTATTTTTCAACACAACTTCAAACACTCTTTTTTCAAGTTTCAATCAAATCTATACCCAAATGCTAGCTAAGATTGTGGCTAGTGGTGGCTCTTGAAACACAAATAGAGCTCTAGGGGTCGACTAAGGCCACATTGCGTGCAATTGCACAAGCTTGCAGCTTGATTATCTAACTTTGAAGGGGCATGGATGTACTATGTAGAGATAACACAGTGATTAACTTAACAACACCAAATAATAGATGCTGCAAGCAACAGGATTATAAGTTTGATATGCACTTACAGGGCAGCGAAGATTGACAGGAATACAATCAGCAACCACTTCCAGATCACTATCACTATCGGCATTTTCAGTGGCCGTCCCACCACCAACACAACGACGAACGCGAGTAAGAGCATCTTCAAACTGCTCACCATCTGACTCCTTTGGGATCAAACTAAGAACCTAACAATAAAAAAAATTATATCAGAAACCATAAAACAGTCTATACAGAAGATCCCTTGTATATTAACATGTCTATGTTCATGTAAATGGCAAGCTATCGGGAACTATTCTTTTTATTACAATATCAGGAATATATTAGGGCCAGAACTGGAAAGCTATAGCCATAGTATAATCTTGATATCATGAAAACTGTTGATTGCTCAATTGTCTGTAAGATACTTGGTTTGCTTTTGGATCAATTTTTGTTTCAATTTAAGACCTTGAAACCTAGTAAAACATTACTCACAAGCAACAAATGTTATAGCTCAGTTGGCAGAGCACCTTTTTTACACGAGAGACAATATCTTTCAAGGGGGTTCCAGAAGAAGAATCAGGTCAAAATTAGGATACACTTTGGGAAATCAGACTTCCAGATTTAAAAAAACAAATGAAAGGCTTTAATAAAACTCAGTTGAATTTTACGAACTTTAAGGTGTATGAAGTTTCATATTTGATTTTTTAAGCAGTACGATAGACTTCATTTAACTTGGGTTGATCTAGGCCAGAGGCCAAGGTACAAATCTACTGTTCTTTATTTTCAATAAAGTGATAAAAAATCCATGCGTACAGCACATTTTGGGAAAACCAAACTTACATGAAAAAAAGCAAATGAAAGGCTTTCATAAAATTCAGTTGAATTATATGAATTTTAAGGGGTATGAAGTTTCATATTTGATTTTTTAAGCAGAACGATAGAGACTTCATTTAACTTGAGTTGATCTAGGCCAGAGGTCAAGTTACAAATACACAACAACAGCAACAGCATACGCAACATAGGAGGGTAGAGTGTACGCAGACCTTACCCCTACCGTGTGAAGGTAGAGAGGTTATTTCCGATAGACTCTCGACTCAAGGAAAGCATAATCATAACAGTTATGACAAAGAAATACGAAAAGAGAAGCAGTAACAACCAAGAAAAATAATATAACCGAAACAAAAGAAACAACCGATAGTAATAGAAACCTAAGAATAGGAAATACGAGAACACTAATACTACAGGCATGGAAAAGAAATACAGGTTTGAAAAGGAAATACGCTCGACTACTTACTAACCTAATATCCTTATCCTCGACCACTACACCCTCCTATCAAAGGTCATGTCCTCGGTAAGCTAAAGATGTGCCATGCCCTGCCTGATCACCTCTCCTCAATACTTCTTCAGCCTAACTCTACCTCTCCTAGGACCAGCCATAGTCAACCTCTCACACCTACTCACACCTACTCACTGGGGCATTTGTGCATCTCCTCTTCACATACCTGAACCATCTCAGACTCGCTTCACGCATCTTGTCCACCACATAGGTCACTCTCACCTTGTCCGGAATATCTTCATTCCTAATCATCTCTCTCCTAGTATGCCCACACGTCCATCTCATCATCCTCATTTCCGCTACTTTCATCTTCAAAGTTACAAATCTATTATTCTTTATTTTCAATAAAGTAATAAAAATTCCATGCATACAAGATGTATACTATAGTGAATCTTCACAAATAATTCTCTACGAAGGTACTCAATTGTCTATAAAACCCAAAATATCATAGGTGCTCCAACGCCGATGCTGACACAAACTCCTCCCTTTTTGTTTCTCTCCCCTTCCTATTCCGCCTACGTAGAACATCATAGGTGCTGCAAAGCACACACTTTTACAAACTCTCTCTAATCCAGTCCCTCCCTCACCACCTTCCCAATTTTTATCGCAGTCAGTAAAACACTACAACTTTTTTGATTTCTCATCCTTTTTGTTTTTACACTCCCCAAGTTGTTCCTCGCCTCTACTATCCTCTTCCTCCCAACTCTGCTTTCCCATATCCCTCCAGCACAGTCAATTGTGTTAAAATATAACCAGAGCTAAATTGTAAAACTATTAAATTCAATCCAAAATCACATTTAACTCAAAAAATATAATATATATATATATATATATATATATCAGTGTTTAAAAAAGCGATCGCTTCGTGCTTTTCGCTTTAAGCGACGCGAGTGAAGCTGAGGCGATGCGATTTTCAAAAGCGATCGCTTCAATACCTGAAGCGAGAAGCGACGCAGAAGCGAAAAAGCGATCGCTTCAGTCAAAAGGGGTCAATTTTTTTTAAAAAAAGATTGGGTCTTTTTTTTATTATACAAAACATAGACCCCAAAGTGAAGACATTTCATTCTCTTCTTCCATTCCATCGAGCATCGATGTTGCTGCTGCTAGGGTTCCAGAAGTCCGTCCAGGTAATTTCTTCTTCTTTTTTCTTCTTTCTTTTTCTTCTCCTTTTTTCTCTCTTCTTTCTTCTTCTTCCCGTCGCGTCCATTGTTGCTCACTGCTAGGGTTCCAACGGTCCCTTTTTTCTTTTATTCTTCTTATTTAGCCTTTATTTATTAAATTTTGTGTGTATTTCAGTTTATAAACTTAATTATTATATTTTGAAATGTTGTTGCTTTGCTGATTTTAGTATATTAAACTTAATTATTATTTTTTCAGCTTTTTTCCTTCTTCTTTGAAATGTTACTGATTTCAGTTATATATATATATATATATATATGTGTGTGTGTGTGTGTGTGTGTGTGTGTGTGTGTGTTATATTTTCAGTTTATTTCATTACGTTTGTTTTTCTTTTATCTTAATAGGGATATATATAGAACTTTTTTATTCTTTATATTGTCTCTTTGCAAGGTCTACTTCAATGAAGTGTGTGCTCCGCTTCGCGCTTCGCTTTTGAAGCGAGGCGAGCCCCTGTCACTTTTTTGAGCTTCTCGCTCTCAAAAACACTAATATATATAAACTTATATTCTCACAGCCGAAAATTTCCAACAATAGTAGAGGTGCCAAACAAACAAAAAGGCATGAAATAGAAATAAAACATAAACTCATAGAACTAATACCATAAAAAATACTGTCTTCATACCAATTAATGTGATGGTGATTGACTGGGCCCGGAATTTAAGAAAAAAGTAACTTTTTAAATTTGCAGTCTAAGACGAGCCATAGAAGTTTATGTTGCTATAAAACATCTCATTAAAAATAAAATGGAAAGTTTAAAAGTAAATTGTTTCTAAATGAGGAAAGTATTATACCTTTGGACAGACTAAAAATAAAAAAGTATCACATAGATTGGGACATGGAGTAACGGAAAGGGAATGCAATTGTGTAATACGGAGTATGGTGCATTATGAATGCAGTGTATTGACTCAGCACCAACCTGGATTAGTATTGATACCTAATAAGATGTGCAATCTACATGCAAACCACCCCTATGCCGTTAATGTGCAATACCCCAAAAAAACTGTAAATACCTTTGACATCGGATTAGTGTGCTTTTAGTGAAAATATATTTTTGACTTGTCAACAAATTGAAAATTTCCAAATTAAAACTTCAACTGAATACTGAATAAGAGCAGGTTAAAAAGTTACTTTGCAAGAGATAATTTACATTGCATAATGCTGGTCAAACTTGACTACCTGTTGAACAGTACGCCGCTTCACAAGTCTAACCCCCAAGCAAAAGACACGAGCATCGCATCCTGTTAATGTGATTTTGTTGATTCCATCTCTGGTGCATGGTGTGATCTGATAAAATGGTAAGGCATATATTAAGAGAAATGCCTCTGAAATGAATCACAGTTTTACTGTAACTGTTCCTAAGAACAAACAAGAAGGATATATGCTCTATCCCAAAATTTAGTTCCTTTTGCTTTTCTGGACTAATTTGATCAATTTTCCGGACTTGAATCACACATTGATTTAGAGTCCATATGAGACATACTATAATTTGCTACTTTTTCCATTTCAAAATACCAAAACACGCACATATTCACTCCCCAAGAAGCATAAATAAAAGAGCATGCTATTAATACTCACTATAGGGCCGTCATCTCGACCATTAGCACCCAACAATTGAGAGCCAGGTCTATTTATCGCGCGCACAGGAACCCCTGTTGGTTGAGATTCAACTGAAGTTAATACACAGGGAAAAGATCTTCTGGAAAGAAAATGTAAATGCAGTCTTCACTGCATTTATGGCAATTGAATCTTTGCAGCAGAACACACAGGAAAAAATTACACAAACAATATTTTAAGTTAAGGTAAGAAAGAAACCCAGAACATTATCTCAGGTTTATGTCACCCCTTGAGTTCTTTAAGGCCAAAAAACTATAAACTAGAGAGAGAAACATAACTAAGACATAATACTTTATTGAAGACAGAAGAAAACTTCTGAGGAAAGATATAATTTCAGCATTTATTTCCAATTGGAGCAGGAGTAAAAAGAAGCAACATAGGACAGAGCATACCATTCACCTGCAAATCTGCATATTGAGGCCACTGCATCCTAAATTGTACCTTGTCGTTGAGAAGCATGCACCAAGCCTGACAAGTTTGTAGAACAAACACAATGAATACAAAAGGACTTTTTTTAATCTGAAACCATCACTAAGAGAACCAACAACCTGGAGATCATATTCCTGTTTTGCCAACAAGTCTCTGTCTGCTCTAGTGATCTGAAATGTTTTCTCAATACTCTGCACAGGGTTCGTGCTGAAAATACACAGATGAGATGAGTAACTAGGAAAGGGATAACATACTTGCATAGCTACAAATGCAAAACAATAAGAAAACAGAACATGCCATGTGGATGATAGAACAAATAAGTCAGGAAGTAAGACAGGCAGAAGCATAAATCCTCTAAACAATTTATACAGATATCTAAAGGAAAAAGAAAATCACCATTTAACAGAGAATCCTCCTACGTTGAAGAGACCACTTGCAACAGATACAGATGCAAACACAAACCCAAGACATCCACTTATACAATAAATAAAAATCGTGCATGCACAAGATTATACTAGTGTAAGTCTTTTGACAAGTTTTCAAAATTCACTAACNAAAAAAAAAAAACCCAACATGGAATAGCAAGAAGAATATGCAAGTGCACCAATCAATTTGTGGCAATCAAAGCCCATCCTTTGACATCGTTTCAGGGGAAAACAAACAAAAAAATCTCTTTATTAATAGTCACCAAAACAGGCAATAGAAACTGCATGTCCCGACTCTTCACAGAATTAACACCTTAAACAAATTAAGCCCGAGTAATAAGAACTGTAGCAGCAATAATAGAGAACAGATAGCCGAAACAAAGTTGCAANCAATAATAGAGAACAGATAGCTGAAACAAAGTTGCAGGTAACTCACCCATCGGCAGGAACGCTTGTAATAGACAACTTTGCAGGGTATAAAGGGTGTCCCATTGTCACCCAGAAGCTGCATATAGAGAATTCAGTTATGGAAGGTAAAACAAGCATTACCATATAAAGTACTTATATAACAAATTAAAGCCGCATCAAATGGTCATTTGTGTAGCCATATCCATGGTAAATACAGTGTCAGATCCTATTCCCATGCACTCAAAATTCCAGGTTAGCACCCACTTGTTTACCAGGCTTATGGATAACAAGCTACATTGGAAAAAGTGCTACTCAGACTTCACATGCTATGGATGCGAAAAGTACAATATAAGGGAAATGTTTACCCCCAATGAATTTCAGACCAACTGCAGAAACTAACATAAAGCTAGATCATTTAAGGTTCTCAAATCAGTTGCCACTAACAACTCTCACAACTCCTACGATCACATCACTGTACTAACAGATAGAACGAGACCACCCCTATGCCCCATTAGCACCCTTGATTTCTACCTAAAATAAGGGGGAGGCAGCCTAGTTCTCTTGTCAATCAGTCCAACACATTGGCTCATCATAGCCTTAATATAGCCTTAATGTCAAATTGACCTACTTAAGATGTCAAAGATTTATAAATAAATAATGTCAAAAGATAACTTTTTTGAGTGGAAGAGAACTAGAATATTTAAATAGAAAGTAGAACCAAACACCTGCATGTTTGACATCTAGAGATTTCTAGAACACGATTTATTTGTAAAGAATAATCCTCAAAATGAAGATATGTGACTAAATGCAGCACCCATTAAAAGGCAAAGGAAACACAGCCACATCACACAATTCCTTCTGTTAATGGAACCAGATAAAAATGAAGTAACCACTAAAAGTGACACTTACGGGTCAGCACGACCCAGTCTGCACAATTCACAGTAAAAAGTTGTAGGCGGAATTGGTGGATCACCACCCTCCATCGGCTTATCTGGTATGATAACACAACGCACATGTTGCCAAGTGTGACACCTTCTGTCTTCACACTGCAAGCAAGATTACATCATGAGACACAAATGTGATACATCGAGCACAAGAAATGGAAGCTTCAAATGCTTAGGCAAGTTGTGAAAATAATAAGCTCAGGCTGACATCATGTATAATGCACCTCATCACACACAAGAAATACATAACCCCTCATCGTGACAGAGATTTAAAAATTAAAAAGGGCATACTTTATGCTGAAATCACAGCAATGTACGAATGAACAAGATGATTTTCATCATAGTAGCAATAAAAATGCAATTTACAGATAAGCACGATAGTCCAACATGCAAAAGATCCAATTCTGTAAAAGCCTAACTAGGAAATATTATAAGCAAATAATGAGATTCATAGACATAAGCAGATTTGGTATATCTTTTGAAAGAGAATCTGAGCACAAGAGGAGCTTTACCCACTCAATAGTATATCGAAAATAAAAGTATGCATAAGTATGAGTAAGAGAGACAAGAGAATTAGTACAAAAGTAAAACCTGAATCATTGTTTCAGTTTGTAACGAGCTTGCGCACACACAGCGAATTTTCATATGGTAAGAAGAGTCTTCAATTTCCTCTTTTAACTTCACATTACTACTATCCGAGACGACTTGTGACTTCGATGCTAGCTCAGTGGCCCCACCCACCTGCATTTTTCTGGGAGACAAAGAAAGATCACTATGCATAACACAGAAGAATTTCTTTCTGAGTACCACCAATTATGAGGCAAAAGTCTCACTTATGCAATTCATTTAAAGTTCATGAGAAAATAATGTTGTCAGACATGTCCAACTGAATGAAACAATGGAATAGGGAGACTTAAACATCAAAGTCCATCACTACCCTTTCAGATAGGTGTATCCTAGGACTGTAACTGCTTTATACCTGTAAATGTCATCAACAAGTTTTGCAACATCTTCCTTCCCAACACTGTTTTTCTTTGGCCACATTCCTGAAACTGTTCAGCATCAAAAAGGTATGTGAGAATCAGTTATCAAAAAACCATGATCGCAAACAAATCCACCTGCTAAAAGTGAGATTCAGAAATAATGTATATACAAGCACACTAAACATGAAAAAAAAAACACAGAATAACCCCTCAATTAACAAGTATTTGAAAAGTAGAGTTTTAAGCAATTTCACTATTATCAAACAATGATCACCAAGACAACGGGTAAGATTTAATTATGAAAGATAATTTCAAGCATTACAACCCTTACAACATCCCAGACACAGAATAAAATCATACATGTGTCCCACAAGAACTGCACGAGAACGAGGGAGGAGGGCTGCAGATATATTCGATTGAATAATTAGGAAATCTGGTACCTCCAGTTGGAAAAATAAAAGGAAAGAATGAAGATTCTAAATCCCCAACAGAAATGCGTCTGTATCATCAGCAACTCCAGAACAAGATTGGCGTGTAATAAAAGGAAGCAAGTGAATGATAAACATAGAACGGCGAAACACACAAAGAAAACCGACAACAAACAAGATAAGTCTAAGATTTCCCCGCAGCTTCGTCAAGCAAGAAATGTGGCTGCTCACCTCTTTCATCAGAAAGTGTAGCTAATATGCGATCAACAAGGTCCTGCATTACCAAATACTAGCGTTAAACATCAAACTAACATGTAGCTGTAACAAATGTTGTGCAAGAATGCAACTATTCTATGCTTAATCATGAAGATAGACAATGTTGATCCTTAGACGAAAGATAAAGAATAACTGTTCATGAACAAAGACAGGCTAAGATCTAATGCGCCAACCAAAAAGGGAAAAGAAGCCCTCTCACTTCCCATGTTTTGGGATAACGTAATATATTCTATGCTAAGCTGAGAAAAATCCCAATAAGCCTTCCCGTTCTGTAACACTATTTGCAGATACCCAAACTAAGGCTTCTATTTCAAAGCACGAAGAGACAGCTGCACAGGTAACATCATTTACCATTTGGAAACGACAGACGAGAGGGCTAACTAAATTCAGCATGAGAAAAGAGTCCTAAATCAATCAAAATACAGATAATGAGGATAACAGGTCATAAAAATTGCAATGCCCATGCTCATTATCACAGGTCTCCCTCCCACAAGTGATAATGTAGAAAGGAATGATTTTTATGAAAGGCGAACACATCAGTCACCTGCCTGAACAAAAAACAAAGAAGCCATGTTTCAACCATAAAACCTCAAAAATGCATGGAAAATCTACAAACCTGCTTCTTCCCTTGCTTTGAAAGACCAAGTTGAGTCAGAACATCTTTGAGCTCCTTTATCCGAAAATATGCCAATTTATCCTACAAGAGACAAACAATTGTCACCAAAACCAACTAATTGAAATTCCAGCAGCAGACAGTAGTCAGTAAATTGATATGAAAATATATTTCCATAAACCACGTCTAGATTCTAGAACTTATAAAACAGGAATCACTAAGCCAACCGCTAACTGCTTAATTTTTAATTTTAAAATCAGAATATTAAGCAATATGCAATTCGACACATAACATACATCAGCGTATAACCCATATAGTTTCCACAAATGCAGGCACGTTTGGAGTGTCTAAACACCAGAATCATTTGGTACATTTCTTAATCCACCACCAGGACAGACCCCTTACGGGATTATCACTATTTCACATTCTCCGGCATCTTCCTTTTCTACTTTCTTTTTTGAAGCGGTGGTGTCCGATAATCTTGCGCACAACTCAATTATTCTGCAGAATACCTGCTATCTTCTACCAATACATGTACCGGGTAATACTACTCATCAAGGCTTAGGCCCTTTTCTACTTTTAGTTTGTTCCCCCTTTTTTTAACATGGTACTAATTCCCCGGACCCCGCGCATAGCGCGAGCTTAGTGCACCGGGCTGCCTTTTAATTCCATGGAGTACCTGCTACCTCTCGCCAACATAGGTGCTAAGAACTCTGCCCACCCAGACTTGGCCGTGGGGAAGAAATCACCTACTAGTATTTTTGCCTCTGCTGGAATTCTAACCATTCTAAACCCACTTTATTGACCACTGAGTCACGCCCTTGGGTGCTCTATTTTAGTTTGTTCGTTCGACATTTACGCACTTACCGGTCACTAATCCTAAATCTTTATCATCGAGAACTAGTTATACTATTATACTAAAATTATCTAAGCATTTCATTACTTCAATAAAGAGTCAATCCACCATAACATATGAAAATTAAACTACTCCAAGCAACATTCACAATTAGCACCAGAAAATGAAAAAATTAACAGTTCAACCAAAAAAATTGCAAAATGCTAAGAAAGTAAAACCTAATTACCTTGCAACTAGCAACCAAATCCATCTTTATACCCTTCCGTAGATACACACAACTGCAAGAAGTTACTCCGTAGCAGTTGAAATATCCAATTAATAATTGATCTGAATCATATTGCAAGTGAAAAAACAATCAGCAAACCTGAAATAACTTTGATCAAAATTATACACCAAATACTATTAATATATAAAAAAAAGTCAATTCACAAAAGAGAAATTAACACAAAATCTTACAAGGATTAGATGAATATGTGCGGGTTTTAGAGAGAGAAACTCGACGGCGTCAGCAGACTTTCTCTCTCTTCTTCGGAATTGGTATGGTGGCGCTTTTGCTTGACCGAGAACCGGCATGAATGAAGCTATCCTCGAATTACTACTACCAAAGTTCCGGACGTATCACTTGGTTTATCAAATCCGGTTTAATCTGTGAAAACGAATCCGGGTTTGGATTCTCTGCTCTCACGTGTACGTGCCCGTATCCTGCTCTTCAGTTTCTTTTTGACTAACGTCAGCTCGTTCGGTGGGAAGAGACTTCTGAGGTAAGAAAAAATAATATTAACAAAAAACGAAAATGTGAGGAAGGTGATTTTAAGATTGGTGGGCCCCACAATGGCCAAAACAAATGAAGAGACCGATAAAACTTAGGTTTTTGCATTTGGTTAGTGGTTGGAGGTTTAGAAAACTACAACTCTTTCCAGCCGTACGATTAGATTACTCTTTAATCTCTGCATCCAAATAATGACGATGTGCATCTAACAACTTTGAGTAAAATTCATGGTTTGTCATCGTTTATTTCTTTTGTTACGTAAAAGTCATTCAATTTTATGTTCGTTACTCAAAAATTATTTTTCTTTTTTTTGTTAAACAAAAATAGTTTTACTATGCTCTAGTTATTACAATAGTTATTTTGACAAGATTTTACAAATCTTTCACCTGAAAAGTCTATTATCCACTTGACATTATAAATCATCTCATTTATGCAACACAATCTATATTATAATTGTAAGGCCCCGTAAAAAAAAATCGCAAAGGAAATTAAGGTTTCATAGTGCCGAACTAGGCTTACGTGACTCGGGCTTTTTGGGTTGAACAATGCGTTGGAGAGTAAAGGAAAACTTTCAGCAGAAAAAGACATTTCTGCGACCCACTATGCGGCCGCAGAATCACTCTACGGACCGCATAATGGTCGCAGAGTGAATCAGAGGTTGGGCAATATTGGAAGAAGGTCTGCGGTACACTATGCGATCGCAGACCAGTTATGCGGTGCATTATGCGACCGCAAAACAGGTATGTGGCCCGCATAATCACCGTAGACCCAACCAGACGACCCTAGTTTTGGAACGTCAATTATGCAGCCGGTATGCGGGCCGCATAATGGTTCTGCGATACGGTCTGCGTTCGTATACCCGGTTTCGACAAGTTTAAGTTTTGGAAATTTTACCCCTCTCCATTTTGATAAATAGTATTTGAGGCTTATTTTGGGGCATCTATCTGGTGATTTTAGAGAGATGTAAGAGTATTTTAGAAAGAGAAAGAGAAAACCTAACATTCTAATCATCCATTCTTGTCCCAATCTTCAAGAATCAAGGAAGTCAACCACAAGATCTTCATATAAGAGGTAAGATTCAAACTCTAATCTTTAATTCTGAGTTTGGGTATGAGATGGTAATTTGGGAGTATGATTTTGGGGTATGGGAATTGTTATTTATCACATGCATAGGCTAGTAGGGATGGTAGGGAACTTGTTGAACAATATTGGGTGGTTTTGGTATTGAATTAGTTGTGGAGTGAAAGAAATCTTGTGGGTGAACCTTATAGTGTAATTTGCACACCTAGTATTTGATAAAATGCTCAAGTGAGCTGGAACTATGAACTTCTTCATGATTTGTGTTTAATTTTTCTATATCTCTAAATAGATCGAAATAGCTAAGATATCCGGAACGTTGTAGTAAATTAAAAGGCTCGAAGCAAGGTATGTTGGTTAAACTCCTCTCTTAGAATTGAATCCCACGGTATGTAAGTCCCGAGTTGTTCATATAAAAGTGACTATTCCGAATAAGCTTGTGTTGAAAGATATATGTTCAATATGTATCCCAAATGCTTTTATCATGTTATGTTATCATTTGAGAATGTGTTCAAAGTATGGGTTTGCATTAAAATGTTTTGACTTCAAGCCAAGTTCAAGCGAAACTATTATGTCAAATTTTGTGAAAAAACTATATGTGCCTAAAACTCTTAATTGTTCACGTGTATACTAAAAACCTTGAATTGAAATGCAGTATTGTTGATGATGGTGATGATATTTGAAAGTGAAAAAGGTGAGCATGAAATACTAAATACGCCCGACGTACTAAGAATGATTTTATAATTGTGGCCACTAGTGCTAATGAAATGAAATGAATGTGAAAGAAGTATGAAACAAAATGATTGGTTTAAAATGATGATGTCTCGAATTAGTCGGCCTAGCCGATCGGGTCGTGATCGAATACCATGCCGCACACATGGTGGTGATTATGTTAGAAATTATGGTTGTGGTAGATGTCTCGAATGAGACGGCCTAACTGATCGGGTCGTGATCGGACTCGGTGCTAAAAGTACGGTGGTATTAGTATTGTGAACGGTGGCATATTGGTAATAAAGATCTCTCAACTTAAGATATGGAAATTTATTTGAACAGTGTCTTGATCCTAATTTGAGATTTGATGTTATTTGTTGCTTCCACTGATATTATGATTGTTCTTGCTTGTATTATTTATCATTCTATTGAGATGGTGTTTTCATTCATACTAGTACTATTCCATATGTACTAACGTCCCTTTTGCCGGGGGCGCTGCATCTTCAATGGATGCAGGTGGTTCCGCAACAGGAGACATTGATCAGTGATAGCGGTACACCCTCTTCCCAACTGACTTGGTGAGCCCTACTTCATTTCGGAGTCATGCATCTTTTGTTCCTTGTGTATTGTGTTTGAGGTATAACCGGGGCCTTGTTGCCGGCATTATCATAATACTCTTCTGTATCTATTAAAGGCTTCGTAGACATAGTGTGAGTTGTATATTAGTGTTGGAAAAGTCAAACAAGTTATGTTTGTGTTTGAATAGCTTGTTCCACTTTAGACCATGGAAAATGTGTGTAATTCGAGATACTAAAATGAAGTAACTAATGGTAATGAATTTGTATTATATATATGGACTCCTTATTGTATATTTAACAAAAATATGTATTCTCTGTATTCATATGTGAGTTTGGGTAGAAAGTATCTAATAGGTTTGCTTGACCGGGTTCACTCGGTTGAGCGCCGGTCGCGCTCTCCGAGTTCGAGGCGTGGCAATAATATACTTTTACTCAATTATTTTACTTATGATTAAAATGACTTTATATTATTTTATTTATTATTTTTATAATATATTCATACATTTGATTTTTTTTAACATTACCTTTCAAGATATATAAGTAGCATTATTAAATTTGTCGGTAACATAATTGTGAACAAATCTCAAGTCCATGTTCTTAACCATGCTTAACAAAATATTTTTAATAAAAATTATAAAATCAAAGTTCATTCATTTATCAACCAAGTCATGCTCATTAATCCAATAAATAAAATACTTACATTTAGCCAGTGACACATCGAATTAATACTTTCAAATAAATAATATTAACAAATAAAGTTTTAAAAAACTTAATATTAAACACAAATATCTTTGAATTTTTTTCTAAATTCTCATTAACTATAAGAAAAAACTATCATTTGTTAAACAAATATATTTTTATTATTTAAAATAAATATTAAAATATAATTTTATTATTATTTTTATATTTAAAATATGTTCATGTTTGAGTATGATTAAACAAATTGAGTGTCATGAAAAAAATTAAATGTATGGATATATTATAAGAATATTAAATAAATAATATAAAATATTTTAATTATAAGTAAAAACCTAGGTAAAATTATATTATATAGTATATAATATAGGAGGTGTTACATAAATGAGAGGATTTATAATGTTAAGGGCATAATAGACTTTTCAAGTAAAAGTATTATAAAATCTGGCCAATGTGACTTTCGTGATAAATAGAGCAAAGTAAAATAATTTTTGTGGAATAAAATAAAGAAAATTGACTTTTGAGTAATGAACAAAAAGCTGAATGATTTTTATGTAACAAAAAAAAAAAAAAACTTTTTCCTAATGAACACAAAGTTGAATGACCACTCATGAAAATTACTCAACAACTTTGAAGTATTTGTTTTAGATAGATTTTAAGGGATAAAAGTTTTGAAAGCATGTCCTTAGCAATGATTGTTGCATAAATCCTTAATTTACCATGTTTTTATTTTAATTGATCTAGCCTATGTACCAATAACCCTTTCTGTTATTGAATTTACATATAGGTGTCTAATAAATAGGAATATTTTTTTTTATAGCTTGTTGACCATTTGTATAGACCTTAAGTAACTAATGGAAAGGTGACGGAAAAAGCAGGTGCGCCTCGCCATAGTAGATTAGATTCATAATTTAGATACGGTGAGCTTGGAATGTATGAAATTTATAAATGAATATGAATATGCGATATAATTATTTCGGCTTAATAGCAAACAATTTAACGCTATCATTTTAAAAATGATAAATTTTTCATGATCCACATGTACTCTGATTATTTAAGGATAATGGTATAATAATGATAGTTGTTATCGTACTAAATCTTCATGATCTTCAATGGTATAATAATGTTTGATATGATTTGCGCTTCAGCGCTAACTTTATTCTTTCTTTGATTTTAAGTTTCAAAGTCTTGTTTTTTTAATCTCCTCTTAGTTTCCTTAAATTAATAAGATTGGTGCAATTGTGTTATAGTATGAAAATCCCTATAACCCAAGGTAAAAAACGGATACATGCAAGGAAAACGAGTCTTACAATAAATGCCTAGGTCTAGCTTTAGTTGTGTACAATGGTTGTAGACTTTGTGAATATTGCAAACAAAGTATGCATTTACAAGGGAATTAGTAGAGAAGAAAGTCGTCAATATTTTATGTTATGACAATGAGAAATGAGAATAAATAGAGACGTTTTACATTGCAATTTATGTATGTATATGTGCGTGTGCATTTTTAAGAATATCATGCTGAATTTTTTCAATAAATATACATGATGGTAGTCTTTGAGCTTGATTTTTATGCTTTGATACTTATTTTATTTCAAATTGTTAAAAAGTAAAAAGCAATCCTATATCGTGATAAGATTTAAAATTATGTTTAGTATGTGGAATGTTAGATGGGACACAACTATAAAGTATGGATGAAACAAATTAGGAGTATCTATTATAGTTGCCTTTAAAGCATGGTAAAACAAAAAATTATTAACTAGCTCGTAATGACACATTTCATAGTAGAAGAGAATATTATTATTCATTTCTAAAACTACTAGAAAGAAAAAAAGAGTAATAGCATAATGAGTAAAATGCGGGCCCCATCTTGAAGGGTTTGAGTTCCATTTGAATACTTCCACTTAGAGAGAAAATAAGTCCCTTTCCGGTTTCACCAAAATATTCCCCCGCTTCCTTTTCTATTTTTCCTCTTTGTAATTTTCATTTCTTCCTCTCACATTTTACCTAGTTTACATTAAAAAAAAATCTATACATTAATAATGTGATTTTTTTATTTTACATGTTAATTATAATTACGGGTTCGGCATAGCTTAACAATCTTGGTTAAAATTGTATATTTATGTTAAAATTTTATTTAATATGTATAAATAATTTCAGAATACCACAAGCAAATTGCGGTTCAAAATTCATAAATTAAAATCCCGACTCGGTTTATAAAAAGTTAAATTACAACAAAAATATAAAAGTTATTTACATTAATATCATAGATAATTCAAGTCATTCGAAACATACAACAACATACCCAATATTGTCTCACATCGTAGGGTATGAGGAGGGTAGTGTATACACATACCTTACCCTGAGATGTTATTTCCAATAGATTCTTGGCTCAGAAAAAATATAAGCACCATATTAATTAAAAGATAGATAAGGAAAGACAACACCGGGAAGCCATATAAAAGCAGCATAAAAATAATACGGTAATAAGATGATCAAAATGAAAGAAAATAACGGGTAGTCATAGAAACCTACTACCAACAGAATGCGAGAGTGCATACTAATACTACTTATATGAATAATATACTACCTAACCTACTACCCTAATACTCGACATTCACACCTTCCTATTAATGGTCATGTCCTCGGTCAGCTGAAGTTGCGCCATGTCTTGCCTAATCACTTCTCCCCACTTATTCTTCAGTCTACTTCTACCTCTCCGTAGGCCCTCCAATGTCAACCTCTCATACCTCCTCACCGAGACATATGTGCTGCTCTTCTTCACATGTCCAAACCACCCAAGCCTCCCTTCCCGCATCTTGTCCTCAATGGGGGGCACATCCACCTTATCGCGAATAACCTCATTCATAATCCTATCTAACCTGGTGTGCCCGCACATCCATCTCAACATCTTCATCTTTGCTACCTTCATCTTCTGGACATGAGTGATCTTAACAGGCCAACGATCATCTCTATACAACATAGTCGGTCTAATCACCACTTTGCAGAACTTACCTTTAAGTTTTGGTGGCACATTCTTGTCACACAAAATACCAGAAATGAGTCTCCATTTCATCCATCATGCCCCAATACGATGTGTGACATCTTCACCAATCTCCCCACCCCCCCTGAATAATAGATCCAAGGTACTTAAAACTTCTTATCCTAGGGATGACTTGTGAGTCCGGCCTCACATCCTCTTCTCCTCCCTGAGTCTCGCAACTGAACTTACACTCCAAGTATTTAGTCTTGGTTCTACTCAGCTCGAAACCTTTAGACTTCATGGTTTGCCTTCACACCTCTAACCTCGCGTTCACACTGCCTCGTGTCTCGTTAATCAATATAATATCATCTGCAAATAACATGCACCACGACACCTCTCCTTGGGTGTGGCGTGTTGGAACGTCCATCGTCAGGGCAAACAAAAAAAGGATGAGTGTCGACCCTTGGTACAACCCCATCATGACCGAAAAATGGTTCGAGTCCCCTCCCGGCGTCCTCACTCGGGTCTTTGCTCCATCATACATGTCCTTAACCACCCTAATATAGGCAACATGTACACCTCTAGCCTCCAAAAATATCAACAAAACCTATATCTAGACTTTATCGTACGCTTTTTCTAAATCGATGAACACTATATGCAAGTCCCTCTTCCTCTCTCTATACTGCTCCATCAAACCCTAACAAGGTGAATGACCTCTGTAGTCGAGCTCCGACATAAATCCGAATTGGTTCTCTTAAATAGATACACTCCTCCTCACCCTTAGCTTCACCACCGTCTCCCCGACTTTCATAGTATGGCTAAGCAGCTTGATACCCCGATAGTTATTGCAATTTTGGATATCACCATTGTTCTTGTATAAAGGAGCCATTGTACTCCACCTCCACTACTCGAACATCTTCTTCGTTCTAAAAATGACATTAAATAACCTAATGAGCCACTCCAAACCCGCCTTGCTTGCACTCTTCCAAAGGTACCGGCACTATTTTTACCCTATTGGGAGAGAGAGACCGTGTTTCTTGTTTTTCATATATGAGAAAGTCCCGAAATGGAGGCCCAATTTCATGTTGGCCCATATAACAGACCGCTGCCTACTCCGCTTTACATTCGGCCCAAAGCCCAACGACCTATTGCCTGCAACTTTTCTTGTGCGACGGGAAAAGCACACAAAACAAAACTCTCATCAGTCCTCCAATTAGCTGTTTTTCTCCGATCGAAGATCAACTATTCCGACAATGAACGTAAGTTTATTTCTTTAAATTTCTCCCACGTTTTTCCTATCAATGAAATTTGTAAAAGTAATTGTAATTTTTGTCTAAATAATGATGTTTGCAGATGATGGATTCAGCTCCGGCTAAAAGTAGCTTAATGAGCCCTGAAGCTGATATTCAGAGAACACAGTATGCACTTTCTTTTACTCTTTGTGTTTTATGAGTTTTTACAGATCTGATTAGTCATGTATTTGCTGTTTAACAAAGTAGGCTTTTTGCTTTTACTTTTACTTTTTAGGAATTAGTAGAAGTAGGTTTTATATTGTTATTTTATTTGGAGTTTTTCTTAGTGCTATTAACCAGCATTAAGTTCACAGTTATCCGATATGGTATTGTTGAGAACTTTTGATTCTGAGAATTTTGGGCAAAAAGAATGATTTTTAGGCAGAGTATGTTGAATTTTCAAGTCCCAGCGGGAAGCCAAAAAAATATTAGGTGATTTTGTCCCATATGCCTAAACCTTTTTATCTGGTAACTATGCTGGTGGAAGGTAGCGAGTTGAATAGTCAGAGGTGCAAGCAAGTTGTCACGAACACCAGTGCCATGAAAAAAGAATTAGTAGAACAACAACCCATTATAATCCTAGTAGTGGGGTTTGGGGAGGCTAGTGTGTACGCAGACCTTACCCCTACCTTGGGTAGAGATTTTTTTATTTTTTTTAGTAGAAGTAGGTTTTATATATTTATTTTTTTATGTTTTTCTTGGTGCTATTAGCTAGGCTTAGTTTCTCACTTTTTTATATGTAGTGTTAAGAACTTTTGTTTCCAAGAATTTCGGGCAAAAACAAGGGTAAGTAGGTAGAATTTGTTGAATTTTTCTTTGGGGGATGCCTTTGGTAGATCAGAATGGAGTGGGGCCCTTTTCCAGTTACCTATATCAGTATAGTTGGCAAGAGTGGGTTGCTCTAGTGGTGAGCACACTCCACTTCCAACCAAGAGGTTGTGAGTTCGAGTCACCCTGAGAGCAAGGTAGGGAGTTCTTGGAGGGAGTGAGCCGGGGGTCTATCGGAAACAGCCTCTCTACCCCAGGGTAGGGGTAAAGTCTGCGTACAAACTACCCTCCCCAGACCCCATTAGTGGTATTATACTGGGTTGTTGTTATTGTTGTATATCAGTATAGTCTGGTTTGTTTTCTTCTTGTGTCAGCATCTATAAAGGTGATGGCTAGAAGAGCGGTTGTATGGAGGAAAATGTTTTTTGTAGAAATATGTTTTTCCTAGAAATTACTTTTGTGCGGGTTAGGCGACTCATCACGGGTTTCAAACCCTGCCGCAGCCAAACTTGCGGCAAAACGCCTGGTATTTAAGTTGAGGATAGTAGAGGGAGGCCTCGTTATCCACCGAGGCTTAAACCGTGCGCCACCGGCACGCGGAGATTTCTCGGTTATGAAAAAAATAAGAAGAAACTTTATGTTCCAATTGTAATTGTGAGATTATTTTAAGGAGAAAGCCCCTTAAAACACTGGGATAGCAATAAAATAGTTTGTATATATACAGGTCATATGTATACATGAATAGTAGTAGCAAACTACTACAATATATACTTGTTTTCCTATTAGTGTATATACAAACACACACACATGCTCACTCGCATTGAGATTGTACTTATGTAATGTTGCTTTTATTAACTCTTCGATTACCTTTTTCTAGATATTTGCAATTTAACATATATCATTCTCAATAGGTATCCTTATGTGACTGGGACATCCGTAGTCGGCATCAAATACAAAGATGGTATTCTCTTGGCTGCTGACATGGGAGGTTAGCTTCTAAGTCACATATTTGATTCCAGTCAGTTCTCTTTTTACTGGCTGTTGAGAATATTAGGCACAATGTTTTATAGCAGTGAGCAGCTGCTTTGAGGATATTTTCACTTTGTTTACTTATAGACTTCTACTTTTCTTGCCAAAGAAAGATGATGCTTATACATTGAGAATCTAACTAGTTTATGATGTGAATTTTGTACTCGATGTACCTATGTGGTGTATATAAGTCATTTTGTGTCCAATATCTAGAGGATATGTATCGTGTTCAAAGATCTCTAAATTTGGTACTTGCTCTACCATCATACGTTGTCAACATCAGAGCGATAAGTCTCTTTTTTTAACACATCTAAAAAATTGAAGTTAAATTAATTGGAGAAGCACTAGAAGGTGGGGCTAGTGGTGCACGCCTGCATGGTTGGAAACTTGGTGGATAATGAGCTAGCCCTTCTACATCTCTCCACTTAAGTACCAGGCTTTTGTATGCAGCAAGGTTCGAACTCGTGACTAACACGTCACTCATTGCGCTATTACCATTTGATCAAAGCCCATGTGGCAAGTAGTGAAAAAATTACAAGCCTAGAAAGTTTAATGAGCTTGAAAGACTATATTCTAAAAAGCCCTATCAGGTTATTGCATGAAATAGGATACCTCTCTGGCACATTATGGCTTTTAGGCCAAATAAGTGAAGTTAACATTTCTAGGACCTTTTCCTATCTCTTTTTTTTTTTTGGTTGTTGATCAAGAAAGGTTATCCGAGAATGAATCCCGTAGCAGGGAGTGGCTGGGAATATTTAATCTACTGCCAGCTGCTGATATTATAGATGCTGACACAGCTACCTTGTAGCTCATTTAACATCCCTGTTTATAACCCTGAATCCTTTTTGGAATTTATCAGCTTCTTAGTCTTATGATAGATCTTTTGTTGATATTTTTGGGCTGATACTTTCTCCCAATTTTCATCTTCCAGTCTCAAGGGCCATTTTCTGCAAAAACAACTTAGGCAACTCTTTCCATATTGATACATTGTTACACCTGAAACCACAGATATGAAAAGCATAGGCTAAATTCTCTTTTTATTTAATGTTCATACTTCATATAACTTTACTTGAAGATGGAAAATATAGATCCGATTTTATTTGTCATCTTCTATTGTCATTGGGACAAGAGTGGGTTGCTCTAGTGGTGGTCACCCTCCACTTCCAACCAAGAGGTTGTGAGTTCGAGTCACCCCAAGAGCAAGGTGGAGAGTTCTTGGAGGGAGGGAGCCGAGAGTCTATCGGAAACAGCCTCTCTACCCCAGGGTAGGGGTAAGGTCTGCGTACACACTACCCTCCCCAGACCCCACTAGTGGGATTATACTGGGTTGTTGTTGTTGTTGTTGTTATTGTCATTGGATATAAGTAACTGTTTCTTCATGGAAAGTTGGTACAATCCATCAGCAAGATCCGGAAAATAATTCCTGGATGTATCTTTTTGGCTATTTGACAGAAAGAAATAGAAGGTGTTTTGATGGTTTAGCAACTCCAAACTACTATCTGAAGGCTAATTGTCTAGTTTTGTTATGTAGCTGGAGTAACCTCTCCCCTATTAGCTCCCCTGAATTGTATTTGGATTTTGTTAGCTCTCTGACCCTAGCATAGAACCATCTGTATTAGAGCTAAGAAATACTCTTTTGTATTAGCACTTGAACAGTGCTCTTTTGCATCTTCTTGATGCTTTTTATAATAGCTCTTACTTCATCCAGAAAAAAGGGTACTAATTGTTTCTTCATTCCCTCGTTCCAACCAAAAGAATAAACCCAGAAAGAAAACAGCAAAAAGAAAGAGTGTATGGGAAGAAAGATGTGGTAGATGCAGGTTTGCCAAGTCAGCTTGTGATTGTAGAGAGATAAGAATCTATTTTAGCTCTGCTGACAGGGTAAAAAAGGCTGTAATCTATCCTAGAGTTTTAGTAAAATATTTTAGCCAAATATTTTTTCTTCTGTCATATCCAGAATCCTCTCTTACTGCTTTGCTGGGAGCTGGTTTTGCTTAAGTTTCATGAAAGAATTAGCATTTCATAGAACTTAAATTCAAGGCCTTAGTTGTGGGGAGAGTTCTTCATATAATTGAATGTACACAGGTCTAGACTCTTTAGAACTGCCAGCTTGTTTTTCAGGAATTGGTCGTTGGAGATTTAAATAGCTAGCAGGTCCTTATGATAGTCGTGGCATAGATAGCGAAATGTGAGAATGCCAATAGTGTTGCAATTCATTTAGTTCAGCTGATACATGCTGGAGATTATGTAGTAATGTGCTGGTTATGGTGAACATCTTTGGTCTTTCTTCGGTTTACAGGTTCCTATGGTTCAACAATACGTTACAAGAGCGTGGAGCGATTGAAATCAGTGGGAAAGCATTCCCTTCTTGGTGCAAGTGGTGAAATTAGTGATTTCCAGGAGATATCGCGGAAACTTGATGAGCTTATGTAAGTTTGTACTACTGAGGGATTATTGTGTATCATTTTAAGTGTTTTGTCATTGCTTATAAAGAGTTCAGACTGCTACAGTCTGCCTTGCCTATTTATTCTTAGTCATTTCTCGTATTCAATGCTTCATCAATGGCAGCTTGTATGACAACATGTGGGATGATGGGAACTCCTTGGGTCCCAAAGAAGTGCATAACTATTTAACACGTATGATGTATAATCGCCGCAACAAGTTCAACCCACTTTGGAATTCGCTTGTACTTGGTGGAGTGAAAAATGGACAAAAGTATCTTGGAACGGTAAAAAAAAAAAATTTCTTCTTGCACACTTTTAGATGCTTTGCCTGTTTGTCATAATTGATTCCTCGGTGATGATGCTTTTGCGTGTTTCTTTCTAATTTAATTTGTTTAGGTTAGTATGATTGGTGTGCATTACGAGGACGATCATGTGGCTACTGGATTTGGAAATCACCTTGCAAGGCCAATTCTCCGTGATGAATGGCATGAAAACTTGAGTTATGAAGAAGGTGTTAAGTTATTGGAGAAATGTATGCGTGTTCTTTTGTATCGAGACAGATCTGCAGTCAACAAGCTTCAGGTACAATCCTCCTGGGGTTGGGTAGAAAAGCCCTTTTTTTAGGAACAAAATCAGACTGGCACTTCTAACTGCAAAGACGTGTTTCCCAAAGTTTCTCTCTTCAAACCTGTAGCTTGAGTTTGCTGATACTTAATGGAGTAGTCTTATTGTAGGTCTAAAGCTCTGAATTTTGATGTCACTTGTCATCACCCAAATACCTAAACCTAGATCATTTGATTCTGTATTTTCTTAATCTATCATTGTTTTTCTAATAAAAAATATAGCAAAAGATAAAAAATAAAATGAATCTAGATATGAACCATAAGATTGGTTTAGTTTAGTCCAGTGGTCGCAGAAGAACCCATACTTTGATCTTCAAAGTCCACGGCATTTGCTTACACGATTTGCTCCGTGTTGATAGCTATTGTGGTTCCCTGAAGGTTGGTTTCTGGCTTATATTTCAACCGGAAAGTGGGAAAAAACAAAAGCAAGGTGGCTGTCTTGGGAAGCTTAAACAGAAACTTGTAGGACTTGCCGCAAACTTTGCATTTGTAGTTGAATGTGGTAACTGGATGTATAGTTTGCTTTCTAATACAGAAATCATCATCTCCTAACAATTTTAATCAAGCTAATTAAATAATAGGATGGTGAGATTTGTCTGCACAGTGTTTATGATTTCATTCTGACATTTTGTGTACTTGCAGATTGCAAAAATCACTGAAGAGGGGGTAACAGTTTCTCAGCCATACTCGTTGAAGACCTTCTGGAACTTCTCTGCTTTCCAGAATCCCACTGTTGGTGCCGAGGGTTCATGGTAGTAACTGGCTTCTGTATTGTCTAAAGATTGATGAAGGAAATACACAGGCATCATGTGTTGCAAATTTCCAAACTTTCTGCATCTTCATGAGGCGATGTTTGATTCTGTATGATCGAAACTGCGGTGTTTCTGTGTAAACTATAAAGACATGCCTCATTGTGCTGCACTTTTCCATAGCTATGCGTTAATCTTATCTTCCAAAGTTAATACTGTGTGTTGTGAAAATTGCCAATTTATTTGGCGTGCCATAGCTTTATCTAAGTCAGAATGCATTGTCTCGACTGGTTGATAGCTGAAGTATGCTCCGTTTACCTACTTTAAAGAGATGTTTCATTTTACAATTGTCAATATGATGTTCTGACTTAGGTAGTTAGCATCTAATGCTAAATGCTTTCGGGTCGCTGATGCCCCGCACACACTTTATAGCAGGGCCAAATTTGTGCGGGAGGAGCACGAAGCGACCCCTATATTATCTGAAAATATACGTAACTGGTTTGCATTTGAAAATGGAGATAGGACCTGGAAATGAACTGGGACTGGGGCAATTTTCTCCAGGTCATAGATGAAGTAATAGAGCAAATAAGTGAGATCCGATGTTTGATTTTTTTGTTTCATTGTTTGCGATCTATTGAAGGATTGACATCTAAGTTTTTACACAAGCTGCAAATATGGGCATATGGAACCGTGTTGGTGCAAAATATTTTAGACTATCCCTCTCCTCAGTGGACTAGATAAACTTTTCCTAGTTTGAAAAATATAGTAAGCGGCTAATATTCTGTTTGTCAACTTTCAAAAATCAGTTTATTTTGAGATTTTTTTTTCAATAGTCTTTTTCTTAAAAGTGCTTTTGGTGAGAAACAATTTGTGTTTGGTTAATTAATTTGAAAAGTACATCTGCGCAGCAATTAGTATTTGACCGAGCTTTTAAAAACTGTAAGTTTATTTTTTTCAAAAATACTTTTTAAAAAAGTGCTTTTGGGGAGAAACTACTTTTTTTCAACTTCTCCAAAACTGCTTCTGCTTCTCCACAAAAGTACTTTTTTTTTTCTTCCAAAAGCTTGGCCAAACACATCAACGTTGAAAAAAGAAAAAAAAAAAAGCTTCTAGAATTGGAAAATCTTGGCCAAACAGGCTATAAACGAACTCTCTCATTAGAAAAACAAACTAATCAGCTTGTCCAAAAAAGTTCTTGACTATTTTTCCTGTTTCGTCATCTGGTCACATTGCAGACTGTGAAGTGTAGTGTCAATCTGGTTGAAAGAAGTTCCAATCTAGTCCTCAAACGCCACACTGAAACACCCTGCTAAAAAAACAATTATACATCGTCACTGCACCATAAAAGTGTGAATTTACCACATAGAACAAACAAAGGCATATTTCAAGTTATCCTCTCGCGCAACCAAAGCTGAACTACACACACAAAAAATAGTGACTCGAGATTTGAGAAGGATGAAAAAAAGGTGGAAAACTATTATCTGTGGTCCATTTTTGTTCTCTTCCCTGCAGGAGAAAGGAGAAAAGAAAGATAACTTCCTTCTCTTCTAAACGTCCAATAACTTATATTGAGCCTTGTTGAAATCGCCTAAACAACCTCATGAGATAAGATGCTTCAAAAGACAAAATCTCATCTAATCATGAAAGAAGAATTAGCATTACTGGCAACTCCTCGGCTCACTTCGGTGGTAAAGACTTTCAACAATAACAACAGTAATATATCCGATGCATTTCCACAAGTGAGATCTGAGTAGAGTAATGTGTACGCAGAACTTATGCTACCTTACGAAGATATAGAGTTGTTTTCGATAGACCGTCAGTTCAAAAAAGACATGTAAAGAGAAATAATAAAACAAAATAATTAACCACAAAAAAAAAAGTAACCGAAGCTAAAAAAACAAAATAACCAGCAAAAGTAACAGTAGGTAGTAAATTGCAAAGATTTTCCTACTCAAGAAAATGACCATTATAATTATGGTAGCTTGTATACCATCTATTAAGGTTTATTACGTAGGAGAATGATACTGGCCAAAGTAGCCCAGCTCGTCCAGTATCATCCCTCCTGCGTAGCAAAACCTATTGATGCTTCTCTCCTTTCACATATTCAAGAAAATCTAATGTTTTTTCTTTCTTTCATTTCCCCTTGAGCAATTTAAAGAGGTGGCCACGTTTTCAAATTACTATTTATTTATGTACTTTTCCCTGTCTTTTAGTTTGATGTAAATAATTGGACTCGTCCACATTTTTTGGTACATCAATTCCAAAGTAATAAAGGTCACAATAAGGACAAAATCATCTACAATTAACCAAACAAGACAAATTGGAAAAACAAAAGTAAGGAACGGAAAGTATATCTGAAGCGGAATTATTTGAGGTTCCATGAATGTGGCTTGCATTTCATTTTTACTGTGAACTTTTTTGTTTTACCAGACATGGTGATGTCACCACTCGTACGTCACTATCTACAAATTGGCGAATAACAATATATACTCTTGAAATCTAGTCTAATATGATAATATAAAATATAGAGAGAACTTTCTATAATCAATTAAATTGCACTAATTAAAAGTACTACGTATAAAAGTTATTGATAAGTTATGTGTCTTTTGTTTTGATGATTTGACAAACTTCATGAGAGAACCAGATAAGGAACCTGAAATAATTAGTTCTTTTGCTTTCAGAGTAACTAGTCAGATGTCTGGTTCAACTCTCAATGAAATCAGTTAAGGGAACAACAAAGGGAACTATAGAGGGAACATATATAGATCAGTTCCTCCGGTCACAGTACATGTCAACTTCTTACAGCATGTAAAAGTCGTTGTACTATTGCACTGCACACGTAACAGTGCAACAGTCACTCTATGAAGTATGCCTTGTACTAGATATTTGCTTACATAATCCCAATGACCTCACACATATATTATCAACATGAGGCAAGGGATTTCATTGCTCCAACACTTGCAAATCAAAAGACAATATTCTCTCAAGTGCTAGCCACCATCTCTCGCAAGAACAAAGTTGTTGCAACCTCAAGAACCAGATCCAAAGATTGAAGATATCTTAAGTCCTTAGGTTTATTGAGTCTTTGTTATTTGTTCTTCATTTATAATCCTATACTACTTTCAAGAAGTGTCTTTGTAGGACAGATTTAAACCACTGTTCGGTTTAGTTTCTTGACTAGAGTTAGTCAAGGTTTGTTGCTTTCTAATAGAGTTATTATAAAGAGGTTTGAAATATAGTTATTGCAAGTAGGTAAGGGATTAAGAGTTTAATTCCTAGGTTACAATAGGTTATAATCTAAAGTTGCTCGGTTAGTGAAGTTGAAATCTTACGAGTGTAGGTCGTGATTTTTAATCGCGTGAGCTGGGAGTTTTTCACGTAAAAAATTGTTATGTTATTTACTTACCACTGTGTGTGTGTGTGTGTGTGTTATGTGGATACTGATAGAGAACCAGGTTCTCTATACAATTTGGTAGACCCTAAGTTTACATCAATTGGTATCAGAGCAAGTTCTTTCTATCATGCTAACACCTAGAAAGGATTCAAATGGCTGCTCCATCAAACTTTGAAGAAGGTCAATCAACCTACATACCACCAAGATTTCGAAAAATGGTTCGTAGAAATGGAGGCATTCCCAAGAAGGGTAGCTCTAGCAGAAACACTAAAGGAGATGATTGCTGTCACCAGTGCGGAAAGACAGGACATTTCATCAAAGATTGTCCTCTCCACAATGAGAGGAACCCGATCCCTGACAGAAAGTTCAAGAGAAGAGATGTCGCTGATAATATTGTAAGGCAAGCTCTGGCTGAATGGGGAGATTCCTCTAGTGAATCTGAGGGTGATGATGAACATGTAGAAACCTCCATGATGGCCGTTGAAGACAAAGCTGCAAAATATAATTCCATATTTACATTGATGGCAAAATCTGATGAGGATGAAGAAGATGATGACAATGAGGTAATCTTTCCGGACGTTCAAAGAAATTTAAAGTCTTATTCTACAAAGAAGCTGGTATCTTTGGGTAATGTTTTAATTATACTTACCATAACCTCATTAGTGATAAAAATATTTTAACCGAGGAAATTAGAGGGTTAGAACAAGAGAGAGATGGTCTGGTGGTTATAGTTGTAGATTTAAAGGAAATAGTGGAGGAAACAAAGAAAGAAAATATCTTCTTAAAAAATTCAATGGAAAAATGCATGAACTCCTCTAAAGGAAAGGAAATAGAAAGTGAGGGACACCTTAAGATTGAAAATGAACTCAAAAAATATAAAATTGGGTCTTGATGCTGAACTTGAAAAAAATAGATAACTTCAGAAAGATTTAAACATGGTAAAAAATAATCTAGATAAATCTCTGAAGTAGACCTGGTCCTCTGATACAATCACTTTCATGTATAAAAGTAATGGAGGAAACATGCGAGGAATCGGGTTCCACAAGAAAAAAAACCCCTATAATCCACATAGCAAGTATGTTACTGTGTCTGATAACTGGCTTTGTACTCACTGTGGTAAGACTGGTCATTACAAAAATTCATGTAAAGCAAAGTTTCAGTTTCAACAGAAAAATAAAGTTTTTTGTCGAAAAAGTTTCTACTGCTAAGAAACCTGATTCTCTAAAAAAGAAATGTGTGATGCCTATATGGACAAAAAGAAATCTGATTCGCCCCTTCCCTCATTACAAGGGACCCAAACTTGTTTGGGTTCCTAAGTCTAACCCTTGATTCTCTTGTACAAGGAGCAGTAAAAGAAAGCAGCCAAAAATGGTACATGGATAGTGGCTGTTCTAAACATATGACTGGAAGCATCAATAATTTTCTCTTTCACTCGAAGCCCTGCAAGGAGGAAGTGTGTCCTTTGGCAATGGAAAAAAGGATACATTCTGGGAATTGGAAATATTGGGAAAGCATTCACTCATTTGAGAATGTGTATTATATGAATGACTTGAAGTATAGCCTGTTGAATGTCTCTCAAATCTGCGACAAAGGAAACAAAGTAGAGTTTTTGTCAAAATCTTGCACTATCACCAATCTTATAATTGGTGAAGTGGTTCTGATTGCAAAAGGTTCAAAATCATGATGTTGCAGACTTTGAATCTTTGATGGTGGTAATCTTACATGTCTGAGTACCGTTGATGATGATGCTGAACTATGGCACAGAAGATTGGGACATGCAAGCTTCACCCTATTGAATAAGCTGATCAAGAAGGACCTGGTTCGTGGGTAGTCGAAATCAAAGTTCAAAGATCACAAGGTGTGTGATGCATGTGTGAAAAAAAATCAAGTCAGTTCCTCATTCAAGCCAAATAAGGAAGTGAGCACCTCAAGTCCACTTGATCTTCTTCATATGGATATGTGCGGAGATATGAGGATGCCCAACACATGAGGAAAGAAGTACATCTTAGTTATTGTTAATGACTATTCAAATATTTACATGATAAGAATGATCAAGAAGGAGAGGATTCAAAGGTTCCTAGAGAAGTCATTGATATGGAAAACGGGAAGTCAAATCTGACGAGTCAGGTCAAGGAGTCTAGTGAAGAAGATGCGACAGGACCTCCAAGTGATTCGGAGGAACCTGGTCCCTCCATCACAGCAACTAAAGCAAAAAATAGAGTTGTTGATGCTGTGCAAGGCACACCTAATGCTAAAGAGAGAAGTGGTACTCACACTTCCATGGATGCCAATGATGGGTCTCACACGATGGAACTAGGTCCTTCTCACCCTAAGACTTAGGTGTCTAACTGGAAGCACAAAAGCTCACATCCTTTCCTAAATGTCATCACTCCTCTGGATTCAGAAATTCAGACTAGATCAAAGACAAGAAACATGTTTGCTTTCTCAGCTTCATTGTCTCAAATTGAGCCGAGAAACATCATGAAATCATTGAAAGATGCTGGCTGGATTACTGCTATGCAAGATGAACTCCATCAATTTGAGAGGAACCGTGTATGGTACCTGATCCTCGACCCTCAAACAGAACTGTTATTGGAACCAGATGAGTATTCAAAAACAAGCTTGATGAGTTTGGAAATATAACAAGAAACAATGCCAGGTTAGTAGTGCAAGGCTACAATCAAGAAGAAGGGATAAACTATGATGAGACTTTTGTCCCAGTTGCTCAAATGGAAGCCATCAGAATCCTCATTGCCTTTGCATCTCATATGGAATTCAAACTGTTCCAAATGGATGTCAAAAGTGCATTTCTGAATGTATATTTAAAGGAAGAAGTCTTCGTCAAACAACCACCTGGTTTTGAGTATCATGAGCATCCTGAACATGTATTCAAACTTGACAAGGCATTATATGGGCTGAAACAGGCCCCTCATGCATGGTATGAAACGTTGTCCAAGTTCCTTCTTTAAAATGGCTTTACAAGAGGAAAAATCGACAACACCCTAGTTTTGAAGAAACAGGGGAGGAACCTGCTGATTATGCAGATCTATGTTGATGACATCCTTTTTGGTACAACAGATGGTTCCCTATGTGAGGTGTTTGCAAAGCTTACGAGAAGCGAGTTAGAGATGAGTGTGATGAGGGAACTGAACTTCTTCCTAAGGATAAAAGTGAAGAAAACCTCTAAGGGAACGATGGTAAGTGATGAGAAATACATTAAGGAACCTCTGAAAAGGTTTGAGATGGAAAGCACAAAGACCATTGATATTCTCATTGCTACTGCCACTCGTCTAGACATGGACGGACCTGGTTCCCTGTAAATGTGTATCAGAGTGTCATTGGATCTCTCCTGTACCTAACAGCTAGCAGACCTGCCATTGTGTTTAGTTTTGTGTGCTAAGATTTCAATCAAGTCCTAAAGAATTTCATTTGAAAGCTGTCAAAAGAATTCTGAGGTATCTCAAAGGAACGCAGGACCTGGTCCTCTATTATCCCTCAGGAGGTATTTTTGACTTGATTGGGTATGATGATGTTGATTATGCTGGTTATCTGGTGGATAGAAAGAGCACATCTGGCATGGCATACTTTTTGGGATCTTGCTTGATTTCATGGGGTACAAAGAAACAAAATTCTATGGCCCTCTCTACTACCGAAGTTGAATATGTGGTAGCTGCCTCCTATTGTGCCCAACTGTTGTGGATCAAGCAACGATTGAAAGACTTTGGTGTATTCTTTGATTATGTGCAACTG